AGAGCGACAGAACCGTGGATCCTGGTTTCGGACGACATCTTGGCCCCTGGCCCCCACCCGTCAGGGTGATGTTCCTTCACGATCCGGCCTTCGCGAAATGACGCCTTCGGATGAAGGCCAGGGCAAGCGACGTCGGCGCTGTTGCGGTCTGCCTGTGTGGGCGTTTGTCCTCTTACTACTCTTGCTTGTTGGCATAATTCTGGCCGCTGTCCTTGTCCCGCTGGAATTTTTCGTCTTTAAGAACTTGGGCAACGATGAAAAGCCAAAGTCTGCCCTTGCTCAATGCCAAGAATCACTAAAGTGCCAGAACGGCGGAACAAATATCATGTCGCAGGGTACATGCTCATGCATTTGCACCAATGGTTTTACAGGCTCCGACTGTAGCGCTGGTGGCTCCGATGGTTGCACCACTACAGACTTGGGCAACGATCTGAACAACGTGACGCTTGGTAAAAGTATTCCACGCCTTATCGAGAACAGCCAGAAAAACTTTTCTATCCCTCTATCTGGCACTGCCATCATGGCGAAGATCAATGCTGCAGAGCTGTCTTGTATTGCCCAGAACTCCCTGGTTACTTTTGATGGCGCTGCAGCACGCAAAAGGACCTTGCTCGACAGCCTGGCTCTCCAGTTCAAGCGAGAGGCCGCTGCACCAACTCTTATTGCTCGTGCACCTGAAACTGCCCCTCCCGTCGTCGTATCCTCCGAAACCGCCGCGCCAACTACGCTGGTGGTTGACGAGGGAAGCCCCGAAAACGCGCCAACCTCAACAAGTGACGCTGGCAATGCTGCACAGACTTCAGCGGCAGCAGACCCATCGCAGACACAGGACCCGATGACCAAGTTCAAGATCACAAACGAGGTCCTCGACTTTGCGCGTATTGCCGTCCTCTATGTGTTGCAGGAGGAGGACGTGGACAGTGCCGAAGACGCTCAATCTAGCCTTGCACAATTCTTTGCCAAGGCTCGTAAAGAAGCAGGTGTTTTGGTAAAAGAGGCGGCCAGTGTCAGTATTGGCGACAAGGAATCGGTTGACTTGTTGAGGTACAAGATTAGTATCGGATCCAAGACAATAGGAGGAAACGTGAAGCGCCATGTGCTCTCACCAATGGCTGCTCTCACCCACCCGTCTCTTCGACATAGAGCAGTCCATGGGCCAAGGTGAAGCAGAGCAGCGAGGTCCAGATGATCCAGGAGTCAAGAGTAGACACTGTATATAAGGCATGAACATAGGTAAATATGCATTTCGCAATGATGGCGTTGGTCTAGTGCGTTCGTTTCGTTATTTGCTTCAGTTCAGCCTCGCCAGGGCCGGGCCACGGATGGTAATGAGTGCGGAATAAGTAACGGACGGGACTGATGAAGAAGACGGAGCAAGAAAAGACGGAAAGGAGGAAGATTTTTGCATAGGCATTTTGGAGGCGCCCATTTCATTTTATCCTTCTATTCTACTGCCCCCCACCCCCTTTTACAGTACGTAACACTCGCGAGCGAGATTAGCAAGGGCGTTGTACCAAAAGATAGAGGCCTCGGGACTTGATACTCGATGCCATGAATCGTAAGAGATTTAGATCCTAAGCTTCTTTATGAGTCGGGAGTGTCTGGCTTTTCTTTATACCATTACTGAATTTTATGTTGCATTCTATGGCCTAAGGCTGGTAAAACACCTCCTCAACTGGCTTCCACCAAGAAGGCTCGCCGGCCTCAGAGCTCACTGCACCAGGCACGAGACTCTCCTGCCAGGCGTCTGTCATCTTCCACCATTCCCTCACACGGGGATTCTTTGCCATCTTTTCCATGTCGCCGCTGTAATCTGAGCCGATGTATTTGAAGGAGGCGAAGAGAATGTGGCTCTGATCATCGTAGAAAATGCTGTCTATACAAGCCATCAGTCTCTATTACAATTGCCTTGTAGATACGTCTCAGGATGGGCCATACAGTCTCGAATATTGCACTCCTGGATCTGCTTGAGGACGTCGGGCCAGACTCTGGCGTGGACTTCCTTGTACTCCGCGAGGTGTTGAGGCCTCAGTCTGACGATCTGAGCGAATCGGCGAGCTGTTTGTGACATGTTGTGTTTGTGTTTGTAAGCCGCAGACTGTACTGTGCGTATTGTTGGTGAGAGTAAGAGTGACGGTAGTAAAGATCGAAGTAGTGTAGTAACCACAGACTTTAAGAACAGACTCTAGATTGGATGGGATGGGAACAAGTAGTTAGTTATATAGCTAAACTCGGGGATCGGGCTAGAATATAGCGAGTCGAAACCCCGCATACAACATCACCTTTCTACCCACACTTGATGATTTTGGATCACGGATGCTCGCCCCAAAGTGGAAGCTAACTTAGAGTGTGAGCGGATAGTGCCCATCCAGGGTCCACAGCCTGTGGGGGATGTAGACTTTGGGTAGCATTACTATTTCATATGTAATTGGCGATCTTGGCCACATATAACGGATACATCAAATATCTACAGAGTAAATCCGAGATGAGCGTGAGTGTAAGGTAGTTTTTCGATATATTTCAAGCTGAGCCAACAGTGCCTAGACCATCCATAACCTGATAGACACCACTAAATCTTCACAGAAAGGACAGTAACGATTTCAAATCGTTACCAAATAAAGCCACGCCGAGTCTGATGCGTACATGGCCAACTTGTTCATAAGACATAATCCCATCCACCATACTCATAACGCCTATCCCGAGCCCGAATCCTTTGAAAAAAACATACAATCTTTGGTATCGATAACACGCCTGTCGTAGAAGGCTGTGTTAGTAGTGTGCGTTCCCCTTTTCTATCAACCGCGGTTGAAATGCGGGCAAGTACAGAGTCTCAGAAATCGACTTCTAGTTGCGTGGCTCGTACTGGGGAAGAGCCTCCTCATCGACCAAAAGACCCGACTTCTCGTCTTCAACAAGCATCTCGGCGATGGCGGCCTTGTGAGTAACACCAGGGGCAAGCTCAGGTTCGGACTCGGCGGATTCGCCCTTGAACATGCGGATCACGCGGAGAACCATGGCACAAAGGAACATGGTGAAACTGAATATGTTAGTGTACAAATTAGAGGATAGCAGGGAAAGAACTTACAATGCAACTCCGACACCGGCAGCAACACCCATAAGGACAGGGATGATAATATATGCTGTGACGTGCGTGAAAACATCACTCCACGACTGCTCGGGGGCCTTGTTGACGAGGGGACCGTGCTTGAAGTTGTCGGTAGGCTTGTTCTCACCCTTACCATGACCGTGATGGGGCTTGCGACCGTGACCGTGACCATGGCCCTTACCCTTGCCCTTGCCCTTCATTCCGTGGCAGCCCTTGCCCTTGAACTTGCCCTTGACATCCTTCCAGGTATCGTGGACCATACCCTTGGCGCGGCACCACATATCACAGTCCTCTGGTGCCTTCTCGCCAGCACCCTTGACGTCGATGCTTCCGATGATGATCTCGCCAACAGGAGCTTTGATAAGCTTTACTGTGACAGGAGGGACGCCGTCGACGAAACGATCGCCGACTTCGATGATCCTGACTTCGACATTGACAACCTCGAGATGTTGATCCTTATCGACTCCTTCAGGTCGAATAGCCAAACCATATCCCAGTCGGCGCATATCGCTCTTGCCGTTGGCCTTGATAACAGCCGCCGAAAGGTCTCCATTCCAAGGGTCGGCGTGAGGATAGAGTTCGAAACCGTTTAATACCAGACGACGGTCTTGAATGCCGAAATTGAGTTCGAGTTGGCTATCATGGCCACGGCACTGAAGGCAAGGGACGTCGACGACTTGACCATAGGCGGTCTCGGGGATTTCGAAAGTGTCGACCTCGATGGGGAGAGTACGGAAGATGCTGTCGTCCTTGTCAGAAGTCTCTGGGACGATGAGCACAGCAGCGGCGGTCGCTGCAAGGGCGAGCGGCTTGAAAAGCATGGTGTGATGGAAGTTTCGGAGTGTATGTGATTCGTGTATTGCGAGGATTAATCAATCGATTTGGCGATGCTAACGATGCTGGCGATGTTTTCGTCGTCGGTGGTATTGTTCATGTGGTGGAATAAAGAAAGGATTAAAAGAGGGAAGAATGAGGTGCAGCTGATGGTAACGTGCTTTAGTTTAGTACCGTACCTTACCTTACTCTTGAGGCGTCGGATGTCTCGGTGGCAAGGGATCCGCTTTGGGTAAAGTCTAAGTGTGAGAGGCACGAAATCTGGGGCCGGAAGGAACGACCCCTCCTGCCGATGACGACGATTTTAACTTCACTTTTTCTTTGTTCCGCTAACGTGATTGGCTCAGCTAATTCATGCACTTTCCTGCCTCTTGCCCACTTACCGTCCACCGTTGGTCAGAAAGAGGCAATCGCAGGTACCTCCTACCTTACACAATTATTTTGCATCTACAAATCAATCAACTTACAGTCCTCGGGCAGGCACCTAAGTAAGATACACTTTAATGAACTGAACTAGCAGACTTGTCGTGTTGATCACAATCAATTTGTCAGCTTCTTTATTTAGGTGCTTATTATGTACCTATCTCTTGGCAATACGCGTACATTTTCGATTCGTAGTCTCAGCCAAGAATACCAATGATCCGATCCACTCACATGTCTCACATTCACATCCATATCTGTTAACTATATCAAAAGGCCAATACCAGATGAGTTGGTCAAGGGGAAAACGATACTTATTATAATCTCGACATGATTAATAGCATGAACTATATAAGTCTTGTACACACATCCGTAACGTCTGCGTTCTCAACCAACTCATAGCAAGTCTCGAAATAAACCAAGGCTCCCTGGCCTGGTCTGACCACTGTGATCCCTGACCGGACCCTAAAGTTGCCCGAAATACCGAAACCGAAACAGGGCTGAATTAGAATAGAAATGGAGTCCAGACAAGGAAAACCAACATGTCCGTAGAAAGAAATGAACCCTTGATATGCCATGCTTCATAACCAGGCAATGTTTTACAAACACAATCCAAATCGTGCCCTCTTCATCCTGAGACTTAGTCTTCTGACTTCAAAGCCTGTCCATGCCAGAGACCTTCCACTTTGTCTCTGACATTCTCCCACCGTAGGCGCCAGTTGATTCTCTTACTCAGACCTCCATCGCCATCGCCGTCATTTTCGCCAGGGCCAAGCTCAGACGAGTTCTGATGACGATGGATTGGGGAGTCATTTCCCCATGGAAAGTTGGGATCCTCAGGGACCATGTCTGTGGGCGTGGGATAGTCATCCCCAGTCGAGCCCGATTCTTCTTCAGTCCACGCTTTTGTGACTGTCCGCAATGTTGTGAGCGGCTGGTAGGTGCTTGTTTCTGTTTCTGACCTTAATTAGTTTGGCGATTTTACACATCAAGAATATCACAAACCTTTTACTCCAAATGTGTGAGTCATGTTTGACCAATGTACCGTGCTGCTTGTTGTGTTGCAGGCCGATAAGACGTCTTCAGTGGCTGTTACTGCCGATACGTACGACAGCGATAAGTCTGGTCCATTCGTTGCAGTCAGGCAATCGCTGCTAGCTGGAATCGCTGTATGGGTTGGGGTGTCATACACTGATTCCGTGCAGGTCGATGAGCTAGTAGATGTAGATTCACATGGAGTAGCTGTTCCCGCTGAGCCAGTCAACAAGTGCGTGCTCGTCAAAGTATCAACCCCCGAAGATGTTCTTTCAGAAGCCTGTGATAAAGATGAGTTGCTCACTGGGATTGGTGCCAACACGGAACTCTCAACGCTGGTCGACACCCCCTTTGCGCTACCAGTTGTCAAGAAAGTTGTCGGTGTTCCCGAGAGCGACGATGTAACGGTGGCCAATGAGATAGTCTCTGTGCTCGTGAAGTCAGTGACCCCGGAGGTCACGTTCGCCCACGTGGAAACAGATGAATCTGTAACTGCAGCCCCAGATACTTGAGATGTTGGGGGTTGTCCCAAAGTAGTTGTAAGAGTCAATGTCGTAGTACGAGTGTATGAAGTTGACAACGAAGCACCCCCGCTTGAGCTGTTGAGGGCAGACGAGGGCGCGTCTGGCCCTCCCAAAGTCGTAGTCCGGAATACGGTTGTTGTACGAGTATATGAAATGGACTCTGAGGTTGCACTACTCCTGTTGTCACTGGTGGGCAGGGAAGTGCTGGGCTCTTCCAAAATGGTTGTGAGGGTCAAAGTCGTGGTACGAGTATAAGAGGTTGACCCCGAGGTTACACTGCTAACGTTGTGAACAGAAGAGTGGGATATACTTGGCTCTACGAGAGTAGGAGTCAAAGACTTGGTGATAGTTCGAGTGTATGAAGTCCACTGTGAAATCTCGCTGTTTACAGTCAACGTCGAGATACTTGGCTCATTCGTGAGGCTCAATGTTGGCCAGCTCGTCCATGGCTCGGGATCTGGCCTCCATGAAACGATTGTCGAGAGACTGGTAGCAGTGCCCGGGCTAGTTGAGTTGGAGACCGGGAAGAGTGGCTCATTTGTGCCCGAAGCAGACGCCGAAGTATCAGTCGTAGTGCCACCTACTGTGGTATTTACAGTGCGGTAGGTTGTCCTGATCGATGGTGAAATGGTCACACTGGATGTTGAAAAATCTCCCAGGGTTCCGGTAATGGTGACACGAGGCCCTGTACCACTTGGTGGAAGGGAAGCGCCAGTTCCCGTCAATGTGGTGTTTGATGGAAGAGGGAAGGGGGCCATGCTGGTCGATACCGTTGGGAGTGAATTACTCACAGATGTCGTCGAGAGAGTTGGCATAATGATAGTGACTTTCACATCTGTGACCATTTTGCTATAGGTACTGCCTGATGTAGTGGTGAGTGTAACGTTTAGCGAAGCGGGCGGTTGAGGAGTGACGGCAGCTGTGTCGCTCAAAGTTCGAATTCCAGAAACGAAATCCGAGCCAGTGCGGGTAGCGGTAACTATTGTATGGATAGTTGAGTTGGTGAACCACTGAGCGCTGTTGGTCGTGTTCCACGACCCAGAGGCCCCTGCAGTAGTTATGGACGGCGTCTCATCCCTATTACTTGAAGTATGTGTTTCACTGGCCGTAATGGTAGTCGAGTTGATATAAGGAGTAGTGCTATTGAATCCAACTGTGGTCATAGAGATTGTAGTATCACTGCCTTTGGGGCCAATGGTTTTGTCAGATTCAGAGAGTGACACTGGAGATGTTTCTGACTGCCAAACCAAGCTTGTGTTGGTTGGAAAGGGGAAGTTGGTAGGCTGTTTAGATATGATGATGGTACTGATACCAGGAAAGCTGTCGAGGGAGGTCGACTGAGAACTGAGTGTGCTCTTGCTGGATCCCACACTTTTAGAAAAGTTGTACCCACTAGTGGTATGGGTCACCGTGACATTGCCAGACGAGGATAAGCTTGTTGGTGCGAGACTGTTAGTGATGGTGGAAGTCATTGTTGTCTTGATCACCGTGACATTACCAAGTACCGAGCCATCAGATGGGCTTCGAGTTGACGTAGTAGACACACTGGGAGGCGTCATTGGCGTGGTAATGATCGAAAGCCAAGAGGTTGGAAAAGAAAGTGACGGGACCTCCAAAGTAGCTTCCGAAGCATGTGAAGTCGTCAGTGTCGAAGTCGGCCAGTCAAACCAGGAGTCTGTCTCAGAAGACAATGAAGTCCGTTTGATAGACATTGACGAATTGAAGCGCGAAGGGGCAGAGGTGGAATACTGTGTGGAAACCGAGTTGTTCATCATACTTGTAGCACTCCCAGTTGGAATGATACCGCCGGGAAAGATAGTAATAACCGAGCCTTCAGACACAGTAGTCACAGCGAAGGACTCGGTGACGGAGCCAGAGGTCTCACTGATAGGCAGAGCTGTTGATGCAAAGAAAGTCTCTGAAGATGTTTGGTTAGAGGCTGTAGCGATATTCGACTCGGAAACGTCAACGCTCGCGCTAGCCACGGAGGTGGGAACTGAAGAGAAAGAAGAGCTTGTTGCTGGCGAGGTGGCGTTGAGTGCAGTGTATGTCTTGCTCGTGGTAACTGTGGTGGAAAAGGCAACAGTAATAGACGTCACGATTGCCGATGAGTCTCCTGTTCCAGCCCCCGACGAGTCATCGGAAGCAACGATAGTAGGTCTTGAAATTACAGAGGTGTTTGACAGAACAGAAGATGATACAGGAACTCCAACTGTTGTAGTGAAGTAGGCAGTAGTAGTAGTGAAGCTCAACGTTGCATTGACAGGAATGCTCGAAGCCAGGGTGGACCTTTGAGTCGATTCCGAAATAGCAACCTCGGTCAAAGTGCTTTGGATTGTGACAGATTTGGTTGATTCAATGGCCAGACTGCCCAATGTTGAGTCCACCGCCGAATCAGTATCGGTAGCAAGACCCTCAGTAGAAACTTCAGATGAGTTCTGTTGTGGGATGACCGTGATTGTCGTGGTTTCGTCTGCAGTCATGGGGACAGTCAAAGATAAAAGGCTTGATGAAATACCACTTGAAGAACTGGGGGCGACTGTCACCGTAACATTAAGCATTTTTGTTGTCGTTGTTGTCGACCCAACCTTTGTTGCGCTACTTTCGAGGCCAGAAGCAAGCTCCGTTGTAGTGACATCGCTTGAAGTTTCAGCACTCGACACTCTTTGTGTGCGGGAGACGCTCTCAGTGATTGTATTTGTTTCATTAAAGAAACCGGAGAGTGTGGCAGATGAGGTAGAACCTGAAGGCAATTCAGTTGCCGTCCCGGGCGATGAGGTACCCACGGAGAGATAAGTGCCAGTCAACGAAGAATTAGCAGATACTTGTCCAAGTGAAAATGAGGAAGCTCCGGCACCAGAAGCCTCGCTCCCAAGGAAAGAGCCCGAAGCTGTTAGGTGAGCACTGGACAATGCCTCGGAGCCGGATGTACTGCCAGCCTTAGCGCTTGAACCGACAGTTATCATGGCAGTGCCGGTTTCGAGTGCTGAGGATACAGAGAGAGAAGAGCTGTCAGAGGAGACAGTATCATAGTGAGAAGAAACATTTGACTTGGATGTCACACTAGCTTGGGAAACTCCAGTCTGAGTTTCTGTTGCAGTGGTGTCCTCAAGAGAGTGATCTGATAATGTTAGATTTGAGGAGGACCTTAAGTCAGAGAGTAATGCTTACGAGAAGTCAAATCAGTTGGAGCAACTGGCTCCCCAGTATAATAGGGAGGAGGTGGACCATAGTCATCAGCGAGAGCGCTACCCAAGGGATTGCGAGCTTCGATGAAATTATTGCCGCGAACATCTTTGCGAGCATTCCGATGCTGCTGGGGGCCAAGCCCGGTTGCACTGCTCAAAAGACAAGAGAGCAGTAGAAGCACCGATAGGACGGCGATCAAATGAATGTTAGGTGGCCTCATGATGAAGATGTTGCAGTGCTGTTGGTCCTTTGAGGTCAGCTAATACTGTTCGTACTTGGGCAAACGCAGATATTGCTTTTTGAACTCACCAGAACGATTCAGCGAACAAAGTTTATTACAGAAGTGTTTAAACGAGCGGATGAGTCGATAGTAGAATAAGAGATACAGGTAAACGAGTGATTGTCGACTCCTAGGATATTATTTCCTTGATGCTTCCTCGAGGTGATGAGGAGAACACGAGAGCGAGATTTGTGAAGCGGAAGAAAAGAAGGGCAGAAGAAGTGAGAAGAATGAGGGAGAAAAGTAGTCAAGCAGCTCAAGGCGTACGTAGGAGTGAGTGAATCATGAACAGCGCAAAAGATAGGAGACACGAAGTGTGCAACTGGCAGCAACTGTCACAAGAACTTTGCCAGTGACTGGCAAAGGGGCACATATCTTGCAACCTTATAGGCGGCACATACCTTCTAATGTCACGTATTTTAGTTAACCCCTGAAAGCCTGCCACAGCATGAGAGTACAAGCTGTATTTTCAAGTCCAATCGGTTACAAGTGCCTGGCTCAGTGTTATTGCGGTGGCGATTCCTGGATATGTTTTGCTAAATTGGGCGGTCCTCCGCAGTCCTCCGGTCGCTGGTGGCCGTATATAGCCTTCTTGGTACCCCATAGAACATATGCCCGGCTGATTGCTTGCCTTCCTCCCGATAGAAGCAATCCCGGGACCCTGGACAGGCATATATTTCCGTCTTCTTATGACACGAAGGCAGACACAATGGGGATGAGCCGACACAGCTGTTGTCGATGCTTGCTCAGTTTTCGCTTCGATCTTTTAGGACAATAAAATTGAGTTTGGGATTGTATTATCGCTTGATTGTATGCATGAAGTGTCCTTGCTACCGCACTCTGCTTCATCAGCCGGTGATTGTTTCCATGTGCCATGTCACAGGCCGTCCTTCATCTCCCATTATGTTTCTTCGAGGAAACAACACAAATGGGATGGCTTCCAGAATTGCTCTCACTTGAAGTATAAGCCAGCCTATTCCTGCCGATGTCGAATGATATTCTGTACATCATATTCCAAGACATGTCGAGAATAAGCAGGCGATCATATACTTGGGAGCCGTCCCTTTCACTCGAGTGAAGACACTTGCTGGTCTCGTCAGGTCACACATGACCTGTATCAGATTAATCCTCGTACGGCCGTACCTCGCTCTGAGTCGCGTTGCAGGATCTAACTTGGACTGGTAAACTGTTGGTAGACGAGATCTTGGCCGTGTTAAGCGGTGGAACACAAACCACGTCGGGCCTTTGACCGTTGGGGATCAACGGCCTGGTTGTTGGAGGTTTCACAGTCCGGGGGCCAGAATCCCAGACTTTACATGCCAACCGTGCAGACGTGGTACCTGTAACGAGCCTCGGTAACGAGGCGAGATGCAGCTTGCCGTCGGGTCGCATCAGGGGTGAAGTGTTCTGTGATGCACTTAGTTTGTGTCTGTTGAGAGTCCAGGCGTATAGAAGGGCGGTGATTTTTCTTCGTTTTCTTGGATGACTAGGTATGAGTGACTATGAAAGACTTGGAAGATGTCGTCCCGTGGCATCATCAGTCAAGCCGAGAACAACGACAGGGGTTAAGGCTTGCAGTTGATGTTTTCTCGAGAGAGGATCAACGTTTCAAAAGTTAAGGGTGGTTCCAGTTCTGAACCTGATTGCTCGCTCCCCAGAGCAGATCTTAAGCGAAGACTCAGACATTGACGCGTTTTCATCATGAACGGCGAAGACTCAGATATTCAAATACGGGGAATAGTTGCGAGGCTCACGTTGATGTGTAAAGAATGAGACAAATCGAGACGATGAAAGTTTTGCGAAAAGAAACTGGTACCTAAACCGAAGTACCTAGACCTAAGACATCTCTTTTACTAGACCCTTCCTTCCTTCCTTCCTTCCTTCCTTCCTGGCTGATGTGACTAATGGACATTCCTTCCTGTATTAGGTTTGCGAAAGCGCTCGCCTGTATTCCAAGGTAACCTTAAAAAGGTATGTAGGCAGGAACTCGTGATTGCCTCATGCATCCCCCAATTATACAAATCCCCACCCCTTAGAACATCAAAATCAAATCCATATTATTAACGTTGCTTTCATGTTTTGGACACAATGTCTCGCAGATCATGGATGTTGCGTGGCTTTGAGGCTTAGCCTGTTGTACCAAGACAAATGCGCTTATTCGGCCTTTTTTGCGGTTTCACGCAGAGTAGGGGCAGTTCCATCAGTCATGGAGGCATTCTTATCCTCGATATCAGCAGCCCAGAGGGCAGCTCCAACTTGTTGAGGTTAGCTTTGCACATTGCGAGCTCGCTTCAGACTTACCTGTGTTACTGAATGTGAAAAACATGGAAGCAACAGGAACCATCTCGAGAAGAGTGGCAACTAGTCCGAACCTTTTACACATTTCAGTTAGCTAAGTTTGCCTCATTTGTGCTACCGGGCGTCAACCAGGAAGCAGATGGATGAATACGCACGCAGTGTAGGGGCCAACATTCTTGGTGAGCCAATCCTCTCTCTTGGGTTGCGACCATTTCTTCAGTTGGAAATACTAGAACGAACAGTGTCAGCTCTGTTGAAACTGGAATTGATAGGCAACTTACTCGACCGTGAACTCCCTTGCCTCGAGTACGGCCTGTGTGTGGTTAGTGGAGTGATATAGTTATTGATGTTGCACTTTTACCTTGAATGAGAATGAAGATGACCGTACCAACAACCGGGATGGCGTTGAGAGGCAGGTACATCACGTAGCGGACAATAGCCTTGGGGCTGAACTTCTCAAAGGGGCTCTTGATGATCTTGCCCAGTTTCTGCATCGGATCTGCCCCAGACTTGACCTCTCGTCCCTCGCTCACGATCTGGGTATCTCCACGGGCAAGGAGTGTACCATCAAACACATCGAGAAGGGCATCTTGAAGGAGGTAGTTGCGAGACACAAGGTTGATAATAGTGGTGCTCTCATTGAGAACCAAGAGAACCGCAGAGAAGGGCGCGATAGGGCCATTCACGAAGAATAGTACGGCGAGCTGCGGCAGGTATGTAAAGAAGAACATGCCACCAATGACACCGGTAGAGAGGAGTACCAGCGGACCGAGCTTGGAGATGAATGGCTTCCAAAGTGAGCGATGAGAGATGAAGTAGAAAATTCCCTGTTCAAGACGTGCTGCGTTAGCAAGTGACCTCTCTGGGGTACAAGAGGAGGATTCCTGTACCTTGATCGGGTAGAGGTAGGATCGGCTCTTGGCAGCGCTGGCGACATGCTCTCGAGCCTGGGCATAGTCCTCCTTACTAAGTAGTAATATTATTAGCTTCAAAAAGAGGAAGAAGAGAATCGAAGCAATTTATGCGTACAAGACCTCTTGAGCTTTCTCTTCAACAGAGTCAACCACTCTGTTGCGCTTGGCGTGTTCCTGTTGGTGATCAGCTCCCGAGGCTTCAGCTGTGTCGGCCATGGTAGTTTGTTGAATGCGAAAGTCGGAGTAAGTTTACGATTCTGGTGGTCGTGTGCAGAAATAAATTGCTATGAGAGCACTTTGATGTTACCAAGTGAAAGAGAGGTGATCTGCTTCGCTTTGTTTATATCGAAGCGAGGTTGGCAATCACAAGCTTGGCATTCCACCCTAAACCATGGAAGCTCGAGGGAGAGAAGCTCTAATCGATGTCGTCATTGGCACCTCGAGGCCCTACGAGTGGGGCTACCTTAAATCGTCACAGGCTTCTCCGTAACCTGGGGTGGAAGCCAGTGACGATGATGTGTATGTTACGCTTTATGACAACTTCTGATATAAGAGTCTCATAAGTTGTATATTGTATGGCATGCAGTAATTATGCCAAGTGATTCTTTCTCCTCCTCCTCCTCCTCTCAAGAACGATCTAATAACCCTGTAACTCCAACGTCGCACCAACGTCAACCTGCAGATCACCGGAAGAAATGTCCCAGAGGACGGACCCACCTCCGCTGGGAGCTCATGACCCACCATCGGCCCCAAGTTTCGGGAGCTTCATCAAGTTTAGGACCTCTATCCCAGGTGACAAAAAGCCTTAGGTAAATTTAGTAAAGTTTTAAAAGGATCTTAGGCTAAGTATTTTTAGCACCTCAGTTTAACGTCAGAAGTCTTCTTACACCCTGAGGGGGCTCCGGCTAACGCTGACGTCTGTTTGTCATGAGCTGTACATCAGGCCTGTCTCGAACCTGACTTTTGAGCCAGTTATAATCTCTTTTGTCTTGTCTGGAGAGCCTATTCTTTTGTACATTGGTGGTTGTTTGTCGCGTGAGCCTCGTCTTTTGCCCCTCCTCCAATTACATGGTAACGTGTTGCTGATCATCCCCCAAAGATGAAAGTATGCGTCACTAGGAGCGCGCGTATAACATCATGTCGAGCCCAAATCAACGACAGCCTCATCCAGATAATGATAACGCGAACCGCTCTTGATAGTTTTGCCAGAGATTCACGAATGCATATGCCATCGCCGCCAGCATGACTCAGCGATATATCTCGAATAACCTTCCCCCCCAGAAACTCGGCTCGGATCCCAAAGAGCTCCTCACATATGCTCTTGAACTCGTCGTACGCCATACGCCGCCTCGTGAGGTCTACCATGAACGCCATCTTGGCGGTCTCTTCGCCGGGTACACTGGTCTTGCTTACCTATTCCTTCAACTGTCCGAGCTATACCCAGATCTGAAAGTCTCTGGCCAAGACTTGCTATCTTGGGCGAAACGCTACCTGGAAGGAGACCGTGGAAAGTTGGTCCTAGAGAAGGGCAACTGCGGCATCTCGTCCGAGAAACTATCATTCGAAGCAGTGAGAGCGTGCATAACCAAGGAGGATGATCACTTGATAACCTTCCTGAGCAATATGCCAATACTTCTTGGTCCCTATACGAGCCCCCAAGAAGATGCTTTTCCATCAGAGATACCCTATGGGCGGGCAGGTGCATTGTACATGTTGCGCATGGTGAAACACTGGGTTCCCAGGAGCGAGAGTCTCGTTGAATCTCCGATTAGGAGACTCACAGAGCGTATCATGACCACTGATGACGACGGTAGGGGTAATTGGGAGTGGCATGGAAAGAGGTACTTTGGAGCAGCTCATGGTGACATAGGTATCATCACACAGCTCGTTCTTTCGAACCCATCGCTCGCTCCACAACTTACACGACGCGTGGAAAAGCTTCTTGAGCTTCAGGGCCCTGACGGGAATTGGCCGTCGAGCTTGCGGAGCCTCAAGGAGGGCAAAGGCGCAAGTCTCATTCAGTGGTGCCATGGTGCCCCTGGTTTCTTATATTCACTGACGTCCCTGCGCCCGTATTTCCCTGACTTGCAAGATCGTATCGACGTAGCCATCGAGAAAGGTCAGAGCATAACCTGGAGGCATGGCCTTCTCACCAAGGAACCATGCTTGTGCCATGGGATTTTTGGAAACGCGTTGTACGTCCCCCCGGTATTCAACCCCCTTCCCCTTTCCTTCACCGCGATGTCCTAGACCTCGGCTGTGACTGACCTCCCTCGGAGTAGGGTGCTTCCCCATGGACCTAATCGACAACACTTCCTTGCACTAGCCACCGCTGATGCAGTGGAGAAAGTGCGTCGACACGATCCAAATTTATTCGAATCTGCATCTTATGGCCACAAAGCCGCAGTCCTCATGAATTATCTGCCGAGTGCCGCGTGGACATGGGCTGTTTGCGAACATGAGCATCCCCGGCTTATCATGTACAACGATGTGTAGTGCATGAAGTAGTCTGGTGGTTTGATACTTCTTCATAATACATGATTGTTATTGCAGCTTGGTGATTCAAGAGCGATGTCTGATGGATAACGATGTCCTTTTCCCTGTTGCATCCACTTTTCCTTAATGAATTAATCATTCGATATCTTTGATCCGAAATGGACCTGGGATGTAACTGTCAGTCGTGATCAAAGTGGGTGCTCAACCGAGGTTAAAGAAGGACTCTAGAATACCACCAGACTTTCACAAGCCCGGCCATTAGAATCCTGATTTACAAGCCCCATAGTTTCAAGCGAGGGGCAATATCTGAGCTCAACCAATCTCTTGGCCAGATGAGGATGCAGGCGATCTCGAAGGCGAGAGACAAGAAGCCAGACGTAGCCTTGCGTGATAAGCCTTCCGGGGGTGATTCGTGAGGGGGACCCGCACTCACGTTGCGATACGTCCACAGCATCGGACCCATAGCTCGGACGTTACTGGAGAATGATCGGAGTTGGAAGCCTTTCAGGGATGAGGCTAGTTTGAAGTTGTTCCATGGGAATTCCATCTTGTGTGAAACGCCTTGTTATTGGTCCCTGTCTGGCGGATTCATGGTAGACACGTCAAATTTGCGGCTGAACCAATTTGGGGCTTATCTTGCAGAAGGAACACGTCAACACCGAATTCCGTAGAACAAGAGCTGAGAATCATGGCGAGCGTCGATGACCCATTGAGTCCCATTTTTTTATTTGAAAAAAAAAAGAGAGAGTCATCGAAAGACCCGGTTTCTAGCCGACGAACTCTGAGATTTCAAGGCCACGGCCATGTGAATTTGCTCGTGATTCCTTGTGAAAGTGGTAGAACACGGAGACTTTCTGGTGATCAAACATTCCATCAGGGTGAAATACCAAGCTCAGCTCAGCTCAGATCATAGGGCTCGAGGCTCATATCATGCAACGGAAATCAACTGGCGTCGGGCTGCGATGTGGTTTTCGGCCGAGTTCCCGGCAAGGTGGCGAGGAACCGGGCTCTGCTCTGGAGCCTCGTGGGAGCCTCTTATGGGGCGTCCTGGAAGAGTTTAGTGAGGCGAAAAGAAGTGTCAAGGTGAGAGGCTAGGAAAGACGACGGCTTGGAAACATGAAAAGATTGGTAATACGTGAAGCAAATTGTGAGTGAATTTGCCGACCAAATGAATGATGGGCCTGGGCTTGTGCCATGCAGCATTGCAGCCTCGAGATGAATAATCACGAGCAAGTAACGTTATATCCACATTTGAAGGAGATTGCCAGGCATTGATTGTATCTGTTAATCGGAACCTGAAAACGAAAATGGAGTAGGGGGTGTGAGTGTAAGCGGGCTCTCGCACTCAGAGGAGTTCAGGCTCAGTTCAGTCCAGTGCACCTCAGTTACATGCATTTGATGCGATGCGATGCTATGCTATGGGTATTGAGGCATTTCTCGACATGCCGACTTTGGTCCATATGCCGTTATTTCTTCAATTTCAAAGCGAACATGGATATGGCGTTCCAGCTTCCTTATTCCTCCAAGGGTGTAAGGGTTGCTTCACCTTCCAGGTGACCGAAAGCGGCCCGAGGGAATAAAACGCACATAACCCAACAAGACTTGAAATCGCGAATCGTGTAGGTTGGTGCGTTACATGCATAGCAGGGTAAACAACCCGACGGGCTCTTGATAATATCGATGTCGGGGTCTTTTCATCCCGACGTCCGTGCCGAGGTGTGGCCCGGCGGCATTCGCGAATCAATTGCCTTATAGCGCGAGTTAGTTAATTCTCCAACAGCCCTGAATATTAGAGAAGCCGCTGACCTCATTTCACGCCCTGTGGGCTTTTTCGTGTTGGTATCATAGAAACTTTGTCTGGATAAGCACGCAGTAGTGACACTTTTAGCTGGCCTTATTGAACAAAAGAAACCCCCACTTCGGCACCGAAGGGCTGTTCAAGTCCGTGGTGATGAGATGAATGGGGAACGTCTAGTGACTAACTCGTCAAATTTCGGGCGAGCCCGACAGTTCTTACAGGCCGATTTACTGCTTCCAAGATATCTTCAACCCGATAGATCCACCATTGCCGTTCCGGTGCCGATGGGGGTACCATACACTGATAATCCCGCGGCCTTCTAGAAAGACTTCCATGGAAAAGAACCTGGTCAAAAGGAGAAGCCAAGGGACGCGGCTGAGAAAGACAAGATCCCATAGGACCATCACTGGTCTCCGGGGCATACGGATACAGCATCATCATCATCATCCCGCATCGCGAAAAATAAAACATGGTTCGGCTTCGAGTTGCCGAGTTGACCAACCGCTTTGGCACCTCAGCGTGCGTCTTGGTCAAGGTGAGATCTAGATAGGCTTGCTGCAGCCTACGTACAACCATCAACGTCGGGAAATAGACTCGCCTTGTTATCATCATAACATGACATCGGGTCAGCACGTTACGTCCGTTTTAGGTCACGTTTGCTGCACAACGTCGTTATCTCCGGCGTCTGTTTATCAAGGTTGAATATCAGTTTAGATGTGAGAATACTGAGCAAATGAGGTGCCTGTCTTGCACGCATTGCAGTACACTACGGCGGTTGCATCGAAAAGTCGATGAGCTATGTCTTGGTTGCCCTAGTTCTGATGCGATTGTGAACAAAGCACTTAGACAGACAGAACTGACATGCATATCTCCAGTCAAAGACGAGTCATGGACTCGATTTACGTATTCCGCCATTGACAAG